AAGTACTGTTTATATTACTTCATGACACGACATAGGATAGGAGCATCAAAGTGCAATACAGAAACTTCAATGACGAGTATTTAAGAGCAGTCTACGGTATACCCAATATACGTACGTATCGGTATTAGAAAGAGGAAGGAGCCGTAATGGTATTATTATATCATTCTTCATTACTCAACGCTTTGCAGCAAACGTACTTTGGACAAATATTCCCTTGTCTCTTGTTCGACACCAAAATAAGAAGTGAAGGCCGGAAAGTTATCGTAGTTGGAAAATTCATTTAAAGTTAATTAAGTTTTCCGATCCTCATCGACTTTCATCATTTTCCTATGCTTACCTAGGCAAGCTTTTTCTGCGAATAAAATGCGTTAGAGTGCGTTTAAATTTTCACAGAAACTAACGCGTTTAGCAGGATGTTTTTGGTCACATTTCGAACGTTCAAACGCGTTACTGATCAACGCGTTTCACAGCGTCGATAGTCACCGCGTTAGAGCGCGTTATAATTTAACGCATTTGAACGCCCTAAATGTGACAAAAAACATCCTGCTAAACGCGTTAGTTTTCAATGCGTTTAAACGCGCTAAACTTTTAAATTTGAAAAAATTAAAAATTAAATTCAGAATCGAGCTGACTTGAACAGAGAGTCTTCATGCTCTCACACGGCCGCCCACAGCTATCCTAATGTCAAGGTTCACAAGTTAAGGAAGAGAGAAACTAAAATAACTTACTCTGCTGTGGCGATAATTCGAACGTGGGTACCTAGAATTAAGAAGCAAGCATAGAACAGGTTGAGCCAAAGATGCTCGAAAGATGAACTGTATCATCAGTACGTGTTTCGAGCATCGATAGCTTACTGAAAAGCTTTTCTGTTTGCTTGCTTGCGTCTTAATTCTAGGTCCCGATCAGCTGTTTTTTACTCTTGCTTACAGAGATCTTTCATTTTGCTCGAAGTAAAATAGCCTTAAAATTACTTTTTATTTTCCGAACTAGTGACCGGGAGGCTCGAATGAAAGTAATTACTGAGTTACTGCGAAAGTTCGAACACAGTCGAAATTCGAGGTCTTGTGCATCTCTGTCTATATGTACACTGGTCACACACTTAATGACCAGAAACTCTGCTAGGGGAAGGATTTCATATACACTATTTCAACAATGGAAAAGTGAAGTACAGTAGCGGCCAAAAGTCTCACCCCACTTTTTTATTTTTATGTATCTAAGTAAAGACAAGGATTATTATTTATATTCATATGTATTTTTACTCTACTGGTCAAACTCTATGAGTACGCATATAGTTAGTCTGCATAAACAAACTTGGGAACGCAGGAGAAAATATACCTTAACAATGAGGAACAAATTGCTCTGCACATAAAAAATATTTTTTTATCTTTCATTTGTTTGTATTATATTTTTAATTGACGATGAGTAGTTGAATTAAACAATTTATGTTGTTAGATTATATCAGTAATATATTAACTCAAGCTATTAGTGCGCTTGACATATATCCCATATATTTATTTATGGATAAAGCACGTATTCATAATAAACAAAAAATCTTAGACATATTCGTCAAAGACAATGGGAGCAAATAATAGATATTCAACTACTACCAACAAACTCTGCAAAAAGAATTAGTCCTTTTGATAATTCATTTTTTTCTAAATTTAAAAACAAGTTTAATAATATTCACCATTATCAGAAAGTAACATTAAAATAGCAATGATCAATTCATATTATGCATTATCCAAACAACATATTAATAATTATTATCATCATTTTGGGTTCATGCGTGGAGTCAATGTCTATCATGATTGCCGTAAACCAAGCCAACATCAATATTTAGCATAAAAATATCATAGATCACATTGATGTGCAAAATTTTTTTAAATAAAAAGGTAGCTCCCTTTCATCGTATTTATGCATTGTATATCTAGGTGTTGTACTACCCCCCAGCTATATACGCACATAATTATATTGAATTAATGTTGTTTATTTTTCATACAATAAGCAAAACACAAAAGTGGGACGAGACTTTTGGTCGCTACTGTATGTGAAAACAGGTGCTTCAGGTCTTGCACTAAGTAAATTCCACTAAGTTGCGTTTTCTCTGATCCTCTTGATCAGCCTTATGGTCCTGCTCCCTTTGGTTATCTACCTTCTTTTCGCTATACTGCGAAGGAATGTGCTTTATATCCGGTGAACCGCGTTAGATTATAACGCGTTTAGCACCAGCATCTACAAAATGCTTCCAGACGCGTTCAGACACGTTTTTAGTGCAAAAAAACGCGTTTAGCAGTGCGTCTGGTCTAAAACAATGTCTGCCTGGGTAGGAACAATTTCGTCTTACAACTCAAAAACGAAATTGTGTCTTTTGCTGAGGCAATGGGTCGATCGTGAGTAGAAGTCGCGTACTATAAGCTGGTGACAATAGTTGAAATTGGTATCCTCTTACAAGTATGATTTTGACTTCTCAAAGTGCCAGATTATGCATCGAATTTACTGTAAATAGTATATGAACACAAAACGGAAGAATAAAAATAGAAACTATACTCTTTTCTCATTTTCATGGATTCTTTTCAATATTTCTCGTTTTCTGTTTACGCATCATTTACAATATATCATATTAAAAGGCATAGCCGGTTTAGTACATGAGCTATTTTCCAGCATCTGTTCATTATATGAACAAAATATGAATGTCAAACAAGCTTTTAACAAAATTATTGTACCGATAAAGAGTGTGTACGGCTACTGTCTCGACATTAAGATGGCATTTTGCTCATGCATGTGGGAATGTCGAAATTGTTTCATCGACGTAAACAACTCTCAATAGCTGAGGAAACAAATACAGAAGAGTAAAGCAGTTCTACAGTACGAGCAACTGGGAGATCCGGTTTATAGAAAATCGACTTGATTTTCCATAAATTCGATTTTCTATGAATAATTTCTGAGAATCTGGAAATTCGATTTTGATTTTCTAGAAAGTGGAAATTCGCCCGGGAATTTCTGGATCAAATACTTATTCATATTTTTGTTTTGCAATCAGTGTAGGTATAAGAGCGTCACGTAAAGACACTCATATTACACTTAAATCAACTTTCACAGTTTCTACTTTAGATCACAATTCTGCCTATGCCGGCAAGAGTTTTGATTTAGGCAGAGACAGTGGTGACGCGAAGTTTTGGTAGCAAGGTCCGAAAATCGGAAACATTCACCAGAAACTTCTCAGAAGCATGAGCAGGATCAACCCCCATACAGCCTGATCGTCCGGCCACTCAGTGCAGAATTTTCAGTTTATAGAAAATCAAAAAGAAATTTCTATTTTCTTGAAAATTATTTATGGAAATTCAACGGCGATTTTCTAACAAACTGGAAATTCAAGAAGGAATTTCCAGATTCTTGAAAATTATTTATGAAAATTCAACTAGGATTTTCTAGCTTGTTGGAAATTCGATTTTCTATAAACTGAAAATTCCTAAGGGAATTCCCATAGGTACTCTTTGAAATTCGCCGAGCATTTTCCATAAATAATTTCCAACTTTACAGTGTATTGCAAGGATACTCAATCCCGATGCTGGGCTCTACCAAAACACCTTCTCAAAATTGTTGCTCATTTTTCTTAAATAAAGCTGTTCCAATATGTATACCAATGACCTAGTTAATATACGTGTTGAGATTTCATTCAATGCTCATTTACTATTGATGAGTTGGAGTTAATCTTTCAATAGCAGCACTAATAATCTATAGCGACATTCTATTGAGAAAAACAGAAGATGAAAATTTTCGACTATTACCAATATCAAAGTAACTGGTGCAGGCATAATTATTACTTTTCAAGCCTTTTTATGCACGTATCAAGAATGCAAGAACGTAATTTGGTTTATAGTATAACTGGTGAATAATATAAATAGTGATAGAATTAGAAGGCATAAGGTTGTTCATTAAAGAAAAATTGTTAGTATGCAATATGCAGGTTGATCAAGCGTACAATACATAATCAAGCATGTAATCAAAGTAACACGTACAATATATTTAATGTTAAGAAAGTACGAGGCAGTTCAAGACCAGCTTGATTTTAAAATAAAGACTTACATCACTGCTCTGACAAAATAACAATAGTTTATATCTAATTCATAAATTCTCCACCAAATAACTGAATACTTAAAAGCCGTGAATATCGCTCAATTCAGTGAGATTTAGACTAGTAAATACAGAATACTATCCTGCTTACTTTTTTTATTTTGTACCTGTTCGTCTTCGTCTTCGCTCATACATATTCCGCATGGATGCTTTTCGTTATTTCTTTTGACGTATGAAAGAGCTGAAGGAACACTATCCTTCACCGTGTAGTAAACGCTATTAGTTGCCAAAGGCTGTTGTTTATTAGCAAACAAAAAACCGGTATCTCTGCTGACCGGAAGTTGCGAAATGTTGATACGAGGAAAGGAATGATAATTCATTCACACCGTCGTTTTTTATCTGTTGGATTAATTATCTCTACATGTGTTGCCTTTATGTTGGTTACCCGAAATCGTCTTTATTCCCACAGTTATGCGAAAAATAATTATTCCTACGTTGAGCACCTAAAGTCAAAAAAGCTGAATTCTCGTTAATATAATTTAACAATCTCAAAGGTTTATCTTCTTGATATAATTAATATAGAACCAATAAAACTAATTTTCAATACTACTGGCTTAGTGTACCAATTCACAAACAGTATAATACATGCCAGATCAAAACAAGTGATTGATTTTCCATGCACATACCATAGCAGCAACGATTTAACTAAATCAATCGATTTGATTAGAATGATTCATGGTTATCAGCGTTTAGCTGATGATTGGTTTGCACTTTCAGCAGATCGACGTATAGTACGATCATTTTTTCAACCTATCATTCCAAGTGTTAACGCCAGTTTAAAACCAACCCAGACTCTCTAGCACGTACCTGGACCAAATTTTTCTGGGAAATGCGAATTAACCCATTCTGACTAGTGTTGGGGCGACATGGTAAATTTGGCCTCGAACACAATATCGTTAGCACTCCTTGATACTTTTAACGTTCTCTGAACGTTTGGCCTACATCGAATTCATTGGGATTGAGATAGGTTTGTAACAGGAAACATTGTTGAACAATGAACTGATTTGAATGTAATGTACAATGCTAGATTTTCAGCTGCTAGGCGGTGACCAGCTTCACTAAAAGTTCTAGGTGTAGGTCCCATCTGAGATTAAGTTAAACCTGTACAACTATCTCTCTCTGATCAGCTGCTACATTAGTTCATTATGTACGTTGATTCTATAAACTGTGTGGCTAGTCGTAGTTTGGATGTCTAAGATACTTCGAATACTCTTTACTCATTCTTTCTTTTGTATTTAAGATTGAAAATTATTGACTAAACAAGGAATATGCTTGATTTTAATTTGATTGCGAAAAAATATAATGTTTATAAACGAATCGCTTTATCATCCTATATTACATCTGTATTTTTTAATTTATTGTGGCGTCTGTATTTCCATTCACAAGATTTATTATTTAATCAGGATGTTAATGTTCAATTAAATAATTCTGAACGTTTAATGCCGTTTTTATTCACTATTGGAGATTTCCTATTATGTATTCCCACATTTATGAATTGTTCAACGTTTTGGACAGCGTTACATTTTAGACCGAAATTAAAATGGTCAATCGAAGATCCTAATCAAAACTTCCCGATTGTTGATATATTTATTGTGTGTTGTAACGAGCCAGCAGATATTTTAATCGATACTGTACGATCAGCATTATCATTAAACTATCCAAAAGATAAATATCGTATTTGGGTACTTGATGATGGAAAATCGAATGAAATTTCAAATTATGTTGAACAAATATCTAATAAATATTCAAAGCCTGATATACACTACAGACGACGTTTCAAAGAAATTAATAAACCACATTATTTCAAAGCGGGTAATATAAACAATGGCCTCTCAGAACTAAATCGACTTCAAAATGAGTTACCAAGTGAATACTTGCTTGTTCAAGATGTTGACATGATTCTACATCCTGATTTTCTGCTTCGAACGTTACCTCATTTTTATCACGATAGAAGATCGCAATTAAATGAATCAATTGCTTATGTTCAAACACCTCAACGTTATTATAATGTAACACCAGGTGATCTATTAAGTCAAGCATTGACTGGTGTAAATGCTATTCTAATGCACAGTGATTCAAAATATTCATCGACTTGTATAGGTAAGAGCAACTGCTCGTCAAATTTTTGGATATTCCAATAAACTATCATAGACTTGCTGTAATACAAACTGGAGAGATTCAAAATTCTATTTTAGGCTCTGGAATGTTGATTAAATTATCGATTTTAAATGAAATAAACAGATTTCCTGTTGATAGTATAACAGAAGATTTTAATTTTTCCTATTCAATACATCAACTTGGTTATAAATCAATATTTATCAATGAAGATCTTCAATTTGGTTTACAACCAGAATCATTAACAGCTGCCATTGAACAATATAAGCGATGGTGTCTAGGAAATTATCAAGTTATTCGTTTAAATCCATGTTCATCTATTCATAAAAACATGAGTTTATTCCAATTCTGTGTTTATTTTTCAATTGGTATTCGCCTCTGGTATTGTTTCCCACAATTATATTTACCAATAATTACGTTTATTGCATTATGGTGGCGATTGCCATTTATTCTTTTAAGGAATGTTCAAATTTGTAAAATAACACTAGCATTAACATGGTTCCAGTATATTCTACATCGATTAGTTTTATATACTTTGTTCTACGATATTGTAGATGGTCATGATTCAACCGAGAGAACTGATGTTGAAGCTGTATCAATGAAAGCGATAGCAACGTTGCCGATCAACCCTGTTTTATGTATCATTCAAATAGTTGAACGTACTATTCAGCATTCCCTATGGATGTCGCCATTTTATCTTGTTGGATTCATAACAACATTATGTAAATTACCTAAGTTTACTGCAACAAACTCATTTCCATCCATTAAATATGAACGTTCAAAATTGCTGAAATTTTTGATTCATATAGCATTCAAAGGTCTCTTATTTCACATATTATATATTATATTCAGTTTAAATCTCATACTGAGTTATATACTACATTATTCGAAACAGGATGCTAGTCGTTTGCCACAATCATTATGGCAAATATTACTTATAATTGTATTTATTGTTAGCTTGATGCCACCTATCTGGTTTATTCTGTTTCCACCACAAGTACCTGACAGAAAATCGTATCTCGTATATGACAATCATGATGAAAATAAAGAACCCTTTATTAAACTCAACCCAAATGTATCATTATATCCGGTGACTAAACGAACAACCTTACGCATTCTAATTCTACCAGTATTTATTATACTAACTTGTATTATAAATATGCATCAATTACATTATAATCCACATTACATTCTTGCATTCTTGATACGTGCATAAAAAGGCTTATAAAAGTAAATAATTATGCCTATACCAGTTACTTTGACATACTTATTGATAATAGGTGAAAATTTTCATTTTCTGTTTTTCTTAATAGAATGTCGCTATAGATTATTAGTGCTGCTATTGAAAGATTAACTCCAACTAAACAATAGTAAGTGAGCATCGAATGAAATCTCAACACGTATAAAGGGCGAGTACTAAGTTTTGACCTCTCTGTAAATTGACGTTATATAAAACACACATAATAAAATTCAGCTGTTTTTTGCAAAAGATTCACCATTTAATTGTCTACAAAATGGTATGTAGGAGATGACACTAAAGACTTGAGACTCCGTCTTAATTCAACAGAAATCAAAATGCTCGAAGACTTTCAAAAATTTAACTCGAAAAACTGTATTTCGTCCGTATAAGCTTGAATGTACGCGTTGTGCTCGCATCGAATAGGCCCGAATGTAGCCCTTCAAACTCTCGAATGGCTATAACATGAATTTTCTGTCATTATTTCTGTGTTTTCAGTAGTTTCAATTCAAAATCGTCGACAGAAATTTTTTTATTTTTTTTTGAAAGTGTTGGGGCATTTCGATTTCTGTTCAATTAAGACGAAATCTCAGCTCTCAGCGGCGTGTCCAGCTAACGGCATCCATTTTTGCTCTTCGGCTTCAGCTCTTGGCTTAATCTATATTAATAAAAGAAAAACTTGAAAAGGGTGACGCTGTGACAAAAAACGGTCAAAAGTGTCACCGTGTCACGGTTTTTCTTTGATTTATATAGATTAATTGGAATAGTTTCAAACTTGACAAGCTATCACATCTTGTAGAGCAAGCAATTTTCTACGAACTGGTATACTTGTGCAGCTTTTGCCAGCCTGTCTTCACTGTTGTAGACACTCTTTTTAGATAGCCCCAAAATCGATTTTTGGGGCTGTTTGTACAACAGCTATATAACGAATTAACGTTCGGAGCCGAAACATTTTCCATTTTGTAGAGAAATGTTTAATTTACTGAATTATCTAGTTGCAATTTTAGATTAGTTTGTAGCTTTATTGCAATAACTTTTTGAAAAAGAGCAAAAAGTGGAGGTCGTTAGCTTGACAATCCGTGAGTTTAATCTCCTATATACATATCATTTTGTAGAGAATTAATCGGTGAATCTTTTGCAAAAAACAACTGTATCGAATTATATGTATTTCATGTACATAACGCTAATTGTAGAGAGGGTCAAAACTTAGTACCGACCCTTTATTAGCTAGGTCATTGATACATGTGTTGAAACAACTTTATTTTTCCTCTCAATTACGTATATTCTGTTGTTCTTTTGTGTAAGTAACGTAGTAAAGTCTTTGCTTTAAAGTCAAGCTGGTCTTTAATCGCCTCATGCTTTCTTAACAGTAAATACATTGTATGTGTTACTTTCATAATATGTTTGATTATCTATCGTAAGCTTGATCAAACTGCATATTGCACTCTAACAGTTTTTCTTTGATGATTATATTTCATTATACCCAAAGGAAAGCCTTCGGCACGATATAGATGATCAATTTTTAATGATAATAGTGATGGTAATAATCGAGGTGAGAGACGGCGATACAAATCTTGAACAGGAAACTTCGCGAATGTCAATGACTTCAAGTGGCCAACATTCAACTGAGACAAGTCAGAGCTGTCATTCAGTTTCAGCGTAACCAGTTGATAGTAAACTGTCGAGAGTAGACCGTTGAGTTTGACTCTTGAAATCAATCGGATGCAATAAAAAACAATAAAGACGAAGGTTATCGCTGGCAAGAAGTTGATTAATTCGACGATTTAAACTGAAAAACGCTTCATGAAGACGGTAAGCATCGACCAATTCAAATATTAACATGAGGATATCAGCAGACAAGTCTTCAAAAATAGTAACCATAACGATATAGAAAGGGTGAAGATCAGACGATAGTGTCGCGGAACTTGATGAGGCTCGAAATTTCTTGAATCCTTACAATCTATTGCAAAAAAATACCTTGTTAATGGAAACTTTTTTGTTTCATAAGATTCGGAAAATGCTCTGAAAATCTTGCACTATATTCACAGCTGAAACGTCAGCGGGAAATCAAATACCGAAAGAATGATTTTCATATTTATTTGGGCATAGGATGGGACTACAACAGAGCTGTCAAATTATCATTATACAGTATAACTATCAACCGTACGAGAAACTTCAGAATTTCAAACTCACCCTTTTACAGAGTGCGATAGTCACTCTAATAGGAAATGTTGGAATTGCAGAATTTCAGAATATCAAACTCATCCTCATACAGTGTGCGGTAGCCAATCTTATAGAAAATGTTGGAATTTCAAAAATTCAGAATTTCAAACTCATCCTTATACAGAGTGCGATAGTCATTCTTAAAGAAAATGTTGGAATTTCAGAATTTCAGAATTTCAGAATATCAAACTCATCCTTATACTGTGTGCGATAGCCAATCTCATAGAAAATGTTGGAATTTCAGAATTTTAGAATTTCAAACTCATCCTTATACCGTGTGCGGTAGCCAATCTTATAGAAAATGTTGGAATTTCAAAAATTCAGAATTTCAAACTCATCCTTATACAGAGTGCGATAGTCATTCTTAAAGAAAATGTTGGAATTTCAGAATTTCAGAATTTCAAACTCATCCTTATACAGAGTACGATAGTCGCTCTTCTAGGAAATGTTGGAATTTCAGCATTTCAGAATTCCAAACTCATCCATATACAGAGTACGATAGTCGCTCTTCTAGGAAATGTTGGAATTTCAGGATTTCAGAATTTCAAACTCACCCTTATACTGTGTGCGGTAGCCAACCTTATAGAAAATGTTGGAATTTCAGAATTTCAAAATTTCAAACTCATCCCTATACTGAGTGCGGTAGGCAATCTTACAGAAAATGTTGGAATTTCAGACTTTCAGAATTTCAATCTCATCCTTATACAGAGTGCGATAGTCACTCTTATAGAAAATGTTGGAATTTCAGCATTTCAGAATTCCAAACTCATCCTTATACAGAGTACGATAGTCGCTCTTATAGAAAACGTTAGAATTTCAGAATTTCAGATTTTCAAACTCATCCTTATACAGTGTGCGGTAGCCAATCTTATAAAAAATGTTGGAATTTCAGAATTTCAGAATTTCAATCTCATCCTTATACAGTGTGCGGTAGCCAATCTTATAGAAAATGTTGGAATTTCAGAATTTCAGATTTTCAAACTCATCCTTATACAGTGTGCGGTAGCCAATCTTATAAAAAATGTTGGAATTTCAGAATTTCAGAATTTCAATCTCATCCTTATACAGAGTACGATAGTCGCTCTTATAGGAAATGTTGGAATTGCAGAATTTCAGAATTTCAAACTTATCCTTATACAGAGTGCGATAGTCGCTCTTATAGAAAACGTTCGAATTTCAGAATTTCAGATTTTCAAACTCATCCTTATACAGTGTGCGGTAGCCAATCTTATAGAAAATGTTGGAATTTCAGAATTTTAGAATTTCAAACATCCTTATACTGAGTGCGATAGTCACTCTTATAGAAAATGTTGGAATGTCAGAATTTCAGAATTTCAGAATTTCAAACTCATCCTTACACAGAGTGCGATAGTCACTCTTATAGAAAATGTTGGAATTTCAGAATTTCAGAATTTCAAACTCATCCTTATACTGTGTGCGGTAGCCAATCTTATAGAAAAT